TAACTAACTAAACTAACTAACTAACTAACTAACTAACTAACTAACTAACTAACTAACTAACTAACTAACTAACTAACTAACTAACTAACTAACTAACTAACTAACTAACTAACTAACTAACTAACTAACTAACTAACTAACTAACTAACTAACTAACTAACTAACTAACTAACTAACTAACTAACTAACTAACTAACTAACTAACTAACTAACTAACTAACTAACTAACTAACTAACTAACTAACTAACTAACTAACTAACTAACTAACTAACTAACTAACTAACTAACTAACTAACTAACTAACTAACTAACTAACTAACTAACTAACTAACTAACTAACTAACTAACTAACTAACTAACTAACTAACTAACTAACTAACTAACTAACTAACTAACTAACTAACTAACTAACTAACTAACTAACTAACTAACTAACTAACTAACTAACTAACTAACTAACTAACTAACTAACTAACTAACTAACTAACTAACTAACTAACTAACTAACTAACTAACTAACTAACTAACTAACTAACTAAACTAACTAACTAACTACTAACTAACTAACTAACTAACTAACTAACTAACTAACTAACTACTAACTAACTAACTAACTAACTAACTAACTAACTACTACTAACTAACTACTAACTACCTAACTAACTAACTAACTAACTAACTAACTAACTAACTAACTAACTAACTAACTAACTAACTAACTAACTAACTAACTAACTAACTAACTAACTACTAACTAACTAACACTAACTAACTACTAACTAACTAACTAACTAACTAACTAACTACTACTAACTAACTAACTAACTAACTAACTAACTACTAACTAACTAACTAACTAACTAACTACTAACTAACCAACTACAAAACTAACTAACTACTAACTAGGTTACTTAGGTTAGGTTTTAATTAAGATTACGAGCGATATCTATTCTATTTAATCATGATAAGGCACTCGATCCAGCATTTTCGTTAATATTACTAATCTAAGGATTATGAACATTCAAAAAAAGTCTTGAAATTTATTTATATTTTATTATTTTTTTAAGACATTAATCATGCATATTTTTTTTTTTTACAAAATTACAGAACTTCAAAACAGTGTGTGAAAAAGTAATTTATGAATATGCACGAGTTATTAAAAATCATTATGCTCTTAAAAAAACGAAGGTTTTTATGCAAAAACAAGGGAGTCAAATAACAATTACATTTTTTATAGTAATTTTTTCAACACTATTGAAACAATACAAGTTGATATGGTATTTACCTTTATTTAAAAAAAAATGAAGAAGATAAAAACACATTTAATATTTCTAGTTGTTTATAATTTTAAATAAATTAAATACAAAAAAACACAACTCAAGTGTAACCAAAAGGACAAGTGTTTCTATATTTGACAAGAGTTTAAAATAAATAAAAAAATACAAAATAAACATAAAAATAACAAAAGAAGAAGAAAACAATTTTAAAGAAGAAAGAAATAACACAAGGCAGTCTTATGATCGACTAGGTCGAATCTTATACACACTTCATCGAATATTACGAGTTATAGACATTTTAATTTTTATTGTTATTTTTACCAATTTGTTTTCTTATTTGGCATCATAGTCTAAACGTTATGCGGAATTATGTTTACTGAATTTTTACTTTCAAAGCCCCATCGTTTAAATTCCTTTCATTTACTTAGGCCCCATTAGATGTTGAAATTTGTTGACTCATTTTCGACATTTCTCTGGTTATAAAAATAAGTGCTCCAACTCTTACAGAGAGATGGATAAGCAAATGGAATTTATACAATCTTATGATATTTGGATGAGTTACAAACATAATGACAAAATCAATATACGGTCCATCTTATTGGACTATGTATGTTTATTGACTATAAAAACAACAATGAAAAATGTGTTCGTTTTTTATAGAGGGAAAATAAATGTTTAAATTCGAAGAAAAAAAAAACAGTTAAAAACAATTTTAAGGAAGGAAGCTCAAGGTTGACAGGGTGTTAGTGGTACTTGAAATTAATTTTATGAAAAAAAAAATGTATAATTAAATGGTATAAATTTACTTTTTTGCTAAAAAAAGATAAACAAAATAAAATACAAAAAACCTAAAAGTTAATATTAAATTTTTAAATCACCCCAACAGAACACAACTGATATATTCAAATATTTATAAATTAAATGTCAAAAACATGCAAAACGTAGGTGTGCTGCTAAACTCTATGACAGCTGGTAAGATAGTAAACAGTAAGTGACATAAAATACGTCTTACAAAAACTTTGAAGTTATGTAGTTTAACAAGGTTTACTTCTTATTAAAATGGATTAAAATATACAGAGTAAATTATCTATTCGATGTAGACTCGCTGTCTCGATATAGACCCTATATTATGGAACATACATTTGCTCTTAGAAACTAACGATACTACTTCCCTCATTTCAGCAAGATTACTGCAGAATTATGATACAATTGATTAGAATCTAACCTTTGCTTAACTCGTTTATGTTTGGTTGGGTTTATTTTTTGCCATTAAGTGTAAAAATGAAGTCTATAACAATATTTCTTAAATGTATAGTACTGTGGGTATAACTATTTCCATGTAGATATCTGTGTTTCTATTTGTCTATAAATGTAGTGTAGTAGTGACAAGGTTGTTATAAACCATACTACGCATATTTAACCATTAAATCCAGCAAAAAAGAAAATAATCATTAAAAGAAGTTTTTTTTACAAAATATTAAAACAAAACATGAATGATTAATTTAATAACATGTACTGCTACAAAGTTTATTCTAGGAAAGGTTAATATTTAATAAAGAAATTTCTTTTGATTATTGTGGGTAGAGACAAGAAAATAAATGAGAAATGTGTGCCATTAATTGTAAAGTTTTGATTGAATAAGATTTTTATTTCATAGTTTACGTTAGGCGGAATTAATGTGTATTTATTTATTGGGTAAAAGATATTGCAAAATGAAGAAAAACTTCTTAAAAATTTTGCTATTTCTATCTATCTATCTATCTATCTATCTATCTATCTATCTATCTATCTATCTATCTATCTATCCATCCATCTATCTATCTATCTATCTATCTATCTATCTATCTATCTATCTATCTATCTATCTATCTATCTATCTATCTATCTATCTATCTATCTATCTATCTATCTATCTATCTATCTATCTATCTATCTATCTATCTATCTATCTATCTATCTATCTATCTATCTATCTATCTATCTATCTATCTATCTATCTATCTATCTATCTATCTATCTATCTATCTATCTATCTATCTATCTATCTATCTATCTATCTATCTATCTATCTATCTATCTATCTATCTATCTATCTATCTATCTATCTATCTATCTATCTATCTATCTATCTATCTATCTATCTATCTATCTATCTATCTATCTATCTATCTATCTATCTATCTATCTATCTATCTATCTATCTATCTATCTATCTATCTATCTATCTATCTATCTATCTATCTATCTATCTATCTATCTATCTATCTATCTATCTATCTATCTATCTATCTATCTATCTATCTATCTATCTATCTATCTATCTATCTATCTATCTATCTATCTATCTATCTATCTATCTATCTATCTATCTATCTATCTATCTATCCTATCTATCTATCTATCTATCTATCTATCTATCTATCTATCTATCTATCTATCTATCTATCTATCTATCTATCTATCTATCTATCTATCTATCTATCTATCTATCTATCTATATCTATCTATCTATCTATCTATCTATCTATCTATCTATCTATCTATCTATCTATCTACTATCTATCTATCTATCTATCTATCTATCTATCTATCTATCTATCTATCTATCTATCTATCTATCTATCTATCTATCTATCTATCTATCTATCTATCTATCTATCTATCTATCTATCTATCTATCTATCTATCTATCTATCTATCTATCTATCTATCTATCTATCTATCTATCTATCTATCTATCTATCTATCTATCTATCTATCTATCTATCTATCTATCTATCTATCTATCTATCTATCTATCTATCTATCTATCTATCTATCTATCTATCTATCTATCTATCTATCTATCTATCTATCTATCTATCTATCTATCTATCTATCTATCTATCTATCTATCTATCTATCTATCTATCTAATCTATCTATCTATCTATCTATCTATCTATCTATCTATCTATCTATCTATCTATCTATCTATCTATCTATCTATCTATCTATCTATCTATCTATCTATCTATCTATCTATCTATCTATCTATCTATCTATCTACCTATCTATCTATCTATCTATCTATCTATCTATCTATCTATCTATCTATCTATCTATCTATCTATCTATCTATCTATCTAACTGATTGTCAAACTTTGGTCAACACTCTACAGGAAATTTTCTAATTGAATTGTGATTCCAGTTCAACATCAAAGTTGCCATCCCTGGTCTAACCTTCATAGACTCCACTGATACACTTGTTTACAAAACTATTTTAACTCTCTACACTTTTTCTTAATAAAACTTAAAAGCCCCACAAAAATTTATAAAAAAATAGGTATAATGTTTATTAAAAAGATAAAATCATTAAATTTTTCTTTAACCACCAACAATTACACAAAAAAATACTTAAAAATATGTAAAAAGAACAAAAAGATGACACAACTCAAAATGCTGCACCTTTTCTCTCTTGTTATTATTTCTCCCAATGAGCAGAACAACGACATCAACAACAAAAATAACAATAATGAATAAAAAAACAACACATAAATAAATGATGATTAACTATCAAAAAACTGACCGAACCAACAAAAAAACACAAATTATTGAAAGAAAACAATTTTTTAATTGTTGTCTTTTTTTAGTTAATAGACTTAAGCCAGCTACACAAAAAAATGAAAGTTTTTCTTTTGTTTTCTAAAGAAATAAAATATAAATGAAAAAAATACAACTTACATTTTGCAGTTCACGAAATTATTGCTGATGTCTATGATTATTATCGTTGTTGCTACTTTTTCCTATTTAGCAAAAACAAATCAAGAAGATTAAAGCAGCGCTGCAGAGAGTGTGGAATAAAATTGTGTATGTTTGTTGTTTGTATAAAGAGGTGTGTTGTTTGAGACACTTGTAAAAAAAAGAAAATGATTTTTTGGGACTTGTTTTTTTATGTATTCAAAAATTTTGTTGTTTTTTATGAAACAAATAATTAGAACATCTTTTATTAATTGATAATTATGCTTTTTATAACACTAGACTTTTTATTTTTCAACAACTTTTTCTTTATTTACCTCCTTTTTTTGTAATAATTTGCTAATGTAGACACAAAACGATTTCTCTATGATTTTTTCTTCTTTTGTTGTATATGTACTTTTTTCTTGTTTCGTGTTCACACTTTTTTAAAAGCTTATGATGTTTTTTGTTGTTTAATTATATTGTATTTGTTTATTTTATTCAACTGGCAGTAATTTTATGTTAGAATTTTAGTTTTATTAAACCTTTTTTTCCAATTGGCAAATTTTTTGTTTGGTTTGATTTTTTCTTTATACTGTTTTTTGCTTTTGCACTTTTTCACTTTTGTCATACACTCACGAAAAACGTCAACTTCGTTTGACTTCTTTTTTCCAACTGATTTTTGTGTACGTTGATTGGTTGGTGAACAGTGTTGGAAAATGAACGAATAACATATCACATAAAGCGGGGAAAAAACGCTTAAATTTGATAAACGAGTACAATTTTTAATAATTTTAGTTAAATATTGAATATTTAGTTAAATGTAAAATATATTTATATAAATCATACAAATTTAATATTTTAGTGAACATAACATTTTTTTAATCCTTATATAACATATTTAATAATCTTATTTCAAATATTATATCAGATGTTTTATTTTTGTGAAATAAAATCATGAAAAGTAAATATTTAATTTAAATTTTTTATATTTTTATTAAAATTGTTTATTTAAATTTTCTGTTTATTTAGAATAAAAAAGATATTGAGAATTTTTTTACATTATTGTAAAAATAACTCATTAAAAAAATCATTAATTTTTGTTTTTTTAAATTTGACTTGAAATTACATATTATAATATTTTAAACCAAATTTATTAAATTTATCAAATATTTTCATGATTATCTCTAGCGAACGCTAGACGCTTAGTATAAATAATAATGAACAAATTGATAACACTTACAGAGGGCGAATTTTAACACAGGGTTGTTGTGGTTAAGTAGTATTGGTAAGCGTTTTTTGTTTATATATGGATATTTTTAGTGCAGTTCTTCACTAATATGTTTTGTAAATATACAAATCATTTTGCGACAACTTTCTCTTCTAAAATCCCTCTTCTTAATTACTTGTATTCCGTTTTTATGCAATATCGTTAAAAAGTTTAAACACACAGCTAAAAACTTAGCCGGCTTTAAAAATAATTTTAAACCGCATTCAAAATTTTGAATTCCACCGCCGGCGTCATTAATATTTATCGGCGTAGGTTTGTGTATGTGTGCAGTATATACAGAGATCCGCGCCGATTCGTCGCGGGTCTCTTATTGTTCTATAAGTGTTGCTGTTCCATTAGACCTGGTCCACACTAGGAAACTTTTGTTGAGAAACTTTCTCTTAATTCTCTTTTGAAGTTTCCTTAATGTCCACACATACAAACTTTTGTTTCAGAAACTACGTTTTAATTGCATTGATTCGTTGTTGTACGAATGAGAAGAATAACAAAACAAAACAAGTTTCCGAGTACGAGAAACTCCGTACCGCGAGAGAGATGAATGATATTCTTTCTCTTTCTCTCTCACGCAAAATCAAAAGTTTCCCAAAAAAAGTTTCCTAGTGTGGACCGGCAGTTACAAACAAAAACAAATTGTGAAATATGATCACAAAATAAGTTTTAAAAAACATCATATTTTAAACACTAGGATGATCAATTTATTATTTCTATACATGTTGTTATTGTTTTTCAAATAATCAGTTTTCAATCATATGTCGGGATCATTGTTGAATCATTTTTAAAGCCCTCAACTGATTAATCACTTTTAGGTCATCAGAAGGTGTCAAAAATGACTCAGTTTACTGGAAATATATTTGCTTTTTTATCTCTTTTCCGTTTTCATATAAATTCGTTAAAAATTTAAAAAAATATCGTATTTGAGAACTTAGTTGGCTTACAGTCGATTTTAAGCCGCTGCCGATATTTTTAGTGTCAGCCGCCGCCGCAGTTAATATTTGTCGGCGCAGGGCTCTGGGTATATATCACAGGAAAATATACACATATTTTGCGAATTGTCCATTGTAAATATTATTATCTGAAAAGTAAATTAATAAATTTTGAGAACAAAGCTAAAATGTCTGATAACGAAAAGAATATACCGGAAGGATGGGAAGTACGCACAAGCCGTTCAACGGGTAAGTTTTAACCAAAAAAGAAACACTCGATACTTTAAATAAAGATGAGCATCCCTTTAATGTTATTGCTATTTTTGCGTTTTACTCATACCATACCATTATTGATTTTCTTTTTAAAATTTGATATTTTATGTTTTCCTAGGCCTTACCTATTATTTAAACATATACACTAAAGAATCCCAATGGGATTTGCCCACAGAACCGGCCAAAAAAGAAATTACCTCTACGGGCCCGAATGAGGTAAGAGCATCCCATTTGCTGGTCAAACACAAAGGCAGTCGTCGTCCCTCGTCGTGGCGTGAAGAGAATATAACACGTACCAAAGATGAAGCTCGTCAAATATTGGAAGATTATCGTAAGAGGATTGAAAGTGGAGATGCCACGCTAGAAGAGTTGGCCCAACTGTACAGTGATTGCAGTTCAGCCAAACGTGGCGGTGATTTGGGAATGTTCGGTCGTGGTCAAATGCAAAAGCCGTTTGAAGAGGCCGCCTTCAGCTTAAAAGTTGGTCAATTATCTAAAATAGTAGATACTGAATCGGGACTGCATATTATTTTACGCACAGAATAAGTTTTATGCTACTATAGAGCGTGCTACTATAGAGCATCACCACTACTAAGAAGTCAAATCAAAACCACAAGCATTTTTAAAGTTTAAACATTGGAACGTCTCATTGGAAAAATCGATTTTGTTAATTCTCCAAAACAAAGTCCTTTTTTACTTTGTTGCCGTTCTAATTAACGTCTCTTAAAACCTAAAGTTTAATACAATTTTTAACTATATTTGAGAATTGATCATTATTATTATTTAACAATTTACTCCTTAAAACTTTGCATTTTGAAAGGAAAATGTTTCCGTTTGTTTTTTAAATAAAAACTATTATTTGTTTAATATATTTTTTTTCAGTTTGTTTTCCTATTTTTTATAAATTTTGGAAAAATAATAAAATTTTAAACTTAAAAACTAAACAAGTTTCTTCTGCAACAATTGAGCTCCATTGAATTTTTGTTTTTTCAACACAGCTGTATGAGGTTTAAGCAATTTTTTCACTTGTTTCAGTAAATCGTCGGAGTTGTTTTCCACAATATTGAGTAAAACAAAGCAGGCACGATTTATACTTAACCAGGACTTAAGAGTGTCTTCGTTGAGTTCTTGTATTAAAAAGTTACCAAAGGTTTCACTACTGCTATCCTGAGCCAAACGTTCTTTGTCGCTCTTAATGATTTTCTTTAAAACTATATGAAGTCCAGCCTCTTCAATGCCTAAAACGTTAACAGTGGAGACCTAAAAGATGGCAAAGTTAATAATTTAGTTTTATTTAATTAGTATTGTGTAGCCTTACCTGTTCTTCCTTTTCTTCGTTATCGGAATCCTCTTCCTGTTCGCCTTCTGCGGTTTCTTCATTATCCTCTTTAATAATGATTTTCTGAGCCTGTTTACGTTGCTTTGTTTTTAATTTGGTAGCTTCTGCTATAATTTTTTCAACATCTTGTGGTTTTTTTACTTTCTTATCCTTCGATTCCTCTTCAACACTAACCGACCAATCAGACTTGGCCACGATTTTAGCCAGAGCTGCAGCAGCATTGGCAAAATTTGTGGAGGTCACTATAACATAAAAATTATTAAAATTTTTAATCTTTGATTGGAGAATGACAAAAACTATTTACATTTCTTTAATATTTCCGCTGTAACCAAACCAATATGTTTATCCGATAACCAAAATTCTGGATTTTCTGATATAGCCGTGGCAATGGGTTCTTCGATTTGTTCAAAAATTTCTTTACGTCTCACCTCTTTATCCTTTTTACCATATTGTAGACCTTCTTCTATGGTGGCTATAAATGTGGGATGGAAACAGTTGGTATCGCCAGGTGAAACGAGCCATTCAATTACACGTCTACCCCACTGATTAGCCATAAGAGTTTGTAGTTCTGGGTGTATGGTATCGTATATAGCTTTTTTGGTTGCCTTTGTATCGTCCAATGCATTGAGAACGGCAATGGCGAAAATATGCCCATGTTCATGGGTGCATATCTTTACCAAGTGTTCTTTAATATTTTTAATTATAGCCTGAAATAAATATTAATAAATAAGTTAATTGGAAGGTCTTTAAAAGTTTGACTTCAACTGCTATAGAAATATTCTAGACTTAACACAGCTGAACTAAAATAGAACTAATACAGAAATAGAACTAAACTAGAATTAATCTAGAACTTGAATTGAACTAGAAATTAAGCTAGAAATGAACTAGAATTAAACTAGAACTGAACCAGAACTGAACTTAATCTACAATTGTACTAGAACTCAACTAGAAATGAAATGTAACTGATCCATAACATAACTAGAATAAAAATAGCTAATAAAAAATATCATATAATTTACTTACTCTTCTATTTTTAGGTGTTGATTTGTGGAAACATATAATGGCCGCTTGACAACCATCCTTAGTGGTCAACATGAGAGGAATGAGTGGAGCAAACATAGTCACTGTCTCCTCCACTTTATCCTCTTCCATTTCCTTAACATATTCCAACATAACAGCATGTACCAAGGAATTATCAACCAGTTGTTTATTGGAAACATGTTCTAAATTTGCCTTAACCGAACTTAAAATGGACGCCTTCATATTAGTAGTTTCCTTATAACAATCAGCCAGACATTTAACATTGTCATCCTTAGATTTTTTATACAAATCACCATAGAACTCTTGACGCATGTAAGCTTTTTGTTTGGCATTTGCTACACTAAGATAAACATGATCCAGAATTTTGCTAGATATATTGTGGCAGGCCAATTTTACAATGCTGCCTATGAATGAATCAACAAGTTTGGATTTTGTAACGGGCGAACCATATTTAAACATACGTAAAACACAAAAGTGTGCATATTTTGAAATGGACATTTCCACCGCAAAAGGCATTAAACGTTCCGATAGTTGTTCCCTTAGGGAGGGTGTAGCAAACTTAAGCATACATTGTATTATTCTGGCAGTGTCATGGGCCATTACCACTTTCTTGATGGTATCTCCTAAACTAAATAAATTGTATAATTTCTCTACTAACTCAGCTTTCTTTTCGGTTTTGCGACACTTTAACTTTTCATAGATCTGTTTGGCTTCTATGGATATTTCATAGGTGTTCTTGGATTGTTTACGTTTCAATTTTAAATCTTTTTTATCCTGTTTAAATTTACGCCAATCAGTTTTCTCTGGCTCACCATCAGTAGCATTCTTTTCGCCAAACTTAGGTTTGCCAGCAAATTTATTTCCTGGTCGGGGGGCAAACTTATTACCGGGTTTTCCAGCAAATTTGCTGTCACCTTTACCCTTGAATTTACTATCTTTACCTGCGCCACCTTTGGCTCCTGAAAACTTGGTGGGTTTACCAAATTTCTGTGTTTTGTTATCATTTTCACCTTGATTCTTTTCGAATTTGGGTGTTTTCTTTTTTAAGGGCTCTTCGCCATTGCTGTTTTTATCAGCGGCACGTTTTTTGGTATTTATCATATCGGTAAATTGTTAATAAATTTAATAATTTCTATAAAACTTTACTTTTTCTGTAACACGTGCGTTTCTTTTTTCAAAATGCAATACGAATTGTTTTCATTTGATATGTCAGTTAAGTACAGAGTTGTTAATTAAGACAGAGTTGTCATATCAAGTTCTCGTAGTAAGTAGAAAAACAGAGTGGCAGCTCTAACACTTTAAAATTGCAAAAACAAACGTTTATTTTATTGAAAACTGAATATCAAAAGGTCAATAAAACATGAATTTTACTAATCTCATGGAATTTTATCCAATGTTTTGTAAAACACTTGAGCATTGTGAAGTCAAAGCTTGTATCTCATTAAAAAAAAATGCCGCAACAACTCTGAAGTTTTGAGGTGCATTTAAAAGAAAAATAGTTTTTTTTCAGTTTTTGGTAAAATTTTGTAAAGGGATCGTAATGTACACAAAATATGCATTTCAGAAAGTTACAAAAATTTGCCGAAAATGTTAATAGATATTGAAAGTTCCAGAGGCTATTAAGTGTCTCGCAGCACTTGAATGCAAAATTTGAAAATTTACGTCATGGGATATACTTTAGTAAAACAATATTGTTACTTAAAATACATACATAGTTGAGTTTCTGCGCGCCCCTATAACATTACATACTTAAACCTGTACAACGCACATAAAGAAAACAACCCGACGAAAAATAAAACAAACCGCAACAGCTGTTTTATCAAAATAAACATTTTTTTTGGTGTGGTGAGTTTTTTTTGTTTACAAATATGTGTTTGTGCACGTGGAAAAGACGCAAAAACTCGTTTTCAATATTTACATTTTCAATATGTGTTTATGCACGTGGAAAAGATTCAAAAAAATTTATTTTCATGCTTTACTTTAAAAAAATTATTTTTGATCAATTAAAATATGTATACAAATGTGGAAAGGAACAAATCTGATAAAATAAAAATATATATGGGATTATATCGTTACAGAATGCCTTTTAATAAAAAACATTCAAAAAATAATACTATGGTCATATATAGAAAATAATATATAAATGCTATCGGACGATCTTGTGCACGATAAAAACCTATATAGAACTTTAAGTTGAAAGTGTAGAAATCAGATGGCACACATTTTTTTTCCGGATTTCATCGTTCTAGGGTGTGTACTACAACAACAAACTTTTTTTTTACAAAAAATGTTACTATGGCCGTATATATAAAATGATATATAACTGCTATCGAACGATCTTGTGCATGATAAAAACCTATATAGAACTTTAAGTTGGAAGTGTAGAAATCGGATGGCATACATCTTTTTCCGGATTTCATCGTTCTAGGGTGTGTACTACAACAACAAACTTTTTTTTTACAAAAAATGTTATTATGGAAGTATATATAAATTGATATATAACTGCTATCGGACGATCTTGTGCACGATAAAGACCTATATAGAACTTTAAGTTGGAAGTGTAGAAATCGGATGACATACATTTTATTCCGGATTTCATCGTTCTAGGGTGTGTACTACAACAACAAACTTTTTTTTTACAAAAAATGTTATTATGGAAGTATATATAAATTGATATATAACTGCTATCGGACGATCTTGTGCACGATAAAGACCTATATAGAACTTTAAGTTGGAAGTGTAGAAATCGGATGGCATAAATTTTTTTCCGGATTTCATCGTTCTAGGGTGTGTACTACAACAACAAACTTTTTTTTTTACAAAAAATGTTTTCATGGAAGTATATATATATTGATATATAACTGCTATCGGACGATCTTGTGCACGATAAAAACCTATATAAAAATTTAAGTTGGAAGTGTAGAAATCGGATGGCATACATTTTTTTCCGGATTTCATCGTTCTAGGGTGTGTACTACAACAACAAACTTTTTTTTTTACAAAAAATGTTATAATGGCCGTATATATAAATTGATATATAAGTGCTATCGGACGATCTTGTGCACAATAAAAACCTATATAGAACTTTAAGTTGGAAGTGTAGAAATCGGATGGCATACAATTTTTTCCGGATTTCATCGTTCTAGGGTGTGTACTACAACAACAAACTTTTTTTTACAAAAAATGTTATTATGGCCGTATATATAAATTGATATATAAGTGCTATCGGACGATCTTGTGCACGATAAAAACCTATATAGAACTTTAAGTTGGAAGTGTAGAAATCGTATGGCATACATTTTTTTCCGGATTTCATCGTTCAGGGTGTGTACTACAACAAAAAACTTTTTTTTACAAAAAATGTTATTATGGAAGTATATATAAATTGATATATAACTGCTATCGGATGATCTTGTGCACGATAAAAACCTATATAGAACTTTAAGTTGGAAGTGTAGAAATCGGATGACATACATTTTTTTCCGGATTTCATCGTTCTAGGGTGTGTACTACAACAACAAACTTTTTTTTTACAAAAAATGTTATTATGGCCGTATATATAAAATGATATATAACTGCTATCGGACGATCTTGTGCATGATAAAAACCTATATAGAACTTTAAGTTGGAAGTGTAGAAATCGGATGGCATACATTTTTTTCCGGATTTCATCGTTCTAGGGTGTGTACTACAACAACAAACTTTTTTTTTACAAAAAATGTTACTATAGCCGTATATATAAAATGATATATAACTGCTATCGGACGATCTTGTGCACGATAAAAAGCTATATAGAACTTTAAGTTGGAAGTGTAGAAATCGGATGGCATACATTTTTTTCCGGATTTCATCGTTCAGGGTGTGTACTACAACAAACGTTTTTTTACAAAAAATGTTATTATGGAAGTATATATAAATTGGTATATAACTGCTATCGGACGATCTTGTGCACGATAAAAACCTATATAGAACTTTAAGTTGGAAGTGTAGAAATCGGATGACATACATTTTTTTCCGGATTTCATCGTTCTAGGGTGTGTACTACAACAACAAACTTTTTTTTACAAAAAATGTTATTATGGAAGTATATATAAATTGATATATAACTGCTATCGGACGATCTTGTGCATGATAAAAACCTATATAGAACTTTAAGTTGGAAGTGTAGAAGTCGGATGGCATACATTATTTTCCGGATTTCATCGTTCTGGGGTGTGTACTACAACAACAAACTTTTTTTTTTACAAAAAATGTTATTATGGCTGTATATATAAATTGGTATATAACTGCTATCGGACGATCTTTTTCATCGTTCAGGGTGTGTACTACAACAACAAACTTTTTTTTACAAAAAATGTTACTATAGCCGTATATATAAATTGGTATATAACTGCTATCGGACGATCTTGTGCACGATAAAAACCTATATAGAACTTTAAGTTGGAAGTGTAGAAATCGGATGACATACATTTTTTTCCGGATTTCATCGTTCTAGGGTGTGTACTACAACAACAAACTTTTTTTTACAAAAAATGTTATTATGGAAGTATATATATATTGATATATAACTGCTATCGGACGATCTTGTGCATGATAAAAACCTATATAGAACTTTAAGTTGGAAGTGTAGAAATCGGATGAGAAACATTTTTTTCCAGATTTCATCGTTCTAGGGTGTGTACTACAACAACAAACTTTTTTTTACAAAAAATGTTACTATGGCCGTATATATAAATTGGTATATAACTGCTATCGGACGATCTTGTGCACGATAAAGACCTATATAGAACTTTAAGTTGGAAGTGTAGAAATCGGATGACATACATTTTTTTCCTGATTTCATCGTGCTAGGGTGTGTACTACAACAACAAACTTTTTTTTTACAAAAAATTTTATTATGGAAGTATATAGAAAATTATATATAACTGCTATCGGACGATCTTGTGCACGATAAAAACCTATATAGAACTTTAAGTTGGAAATATACAAATCGGATGGCATAATTTGTTTTGTGGATTTCATGGTTCTAGGGTGTGTACTACAGCAACAAACTTTTTTTACAAAAAATGTGACTATATCCGTATATAGAAAATTATATATAACTGCTATTGGAAGATCTTATGCACGATAAAAACATATATAGAACTTTAAGTTGGAAGTGTAGAAATCGGATGGCATAATCTGTTTGAGATTTTAGGTAGGGTCAACTGTGGACCGACCCTTACAAAATTCAACAGATAAATTTTGTTTCATATAAAAGTTGTTGTCAAATTTTATAGCTATTTTTTTAAGCCAGTTATGAGTGGTAGTAATTTCCCGAGGTGGACCTTATATCGGGGATAGGTTAAATTATGGACCGATCCCCTTAAATTTGACAAAACTATGTTGACTCCTTGTTTATGTGGAATTTCTTTGCTATATTGGTATTTTTATTACAATTATTGGAGTTAATATCTTTTTCTGAAGGGGAACTTATATGGGGGTAAGGTCAATTTTGATCCAACCCAGAAAGGTTTTGGATCATATAAATCTTGTAAAATAATTTCCTGATCCTCGAAAATTTGGCAAAAAGATTTTAGTTCCTATAAAACTTGTTTTTGTCGTTTTTCTTCGCTATACTGGAATATTGAAGCTCAATAATAAACTCCATCAACTAAAAATATTTTGGCAAATATTGGCTAAGATCCTAGTCTATACTTTTATGGATTCTAGACCAATATTTCGGTGTAAAAGTTCCTTGGCTCCCTGATGAGTTTATCGTACAGCGATATTGTCCATTTTCAATAACAAACTCAATCTTAGACTGTAATAAGATCCCAGCATATACTTTTATGGATATTAGACCAATATTTCAATGTGTTACAAACGGTGTAAAATGTTCCTTGACTCCCTGATGGGTTGTGTCTTCCAAGTGGTGATTTAGCGATCTTGAAAGTGACGGAACTAATAGGGAATCACATTGTTCGCCGGTCTCTGGTATGATTTTAGGTTGATAGTCATGCTGCACTTAAAGCATTAATATGTCATAGCTGTATTCTTGCATAGTCGTAGAATGAAGAAAAGATCTAAGTATTATTATGAGACCGTTTACAATAAGGCTGTGTTGGGTACCAGGACCCTGCAATATACACAAATGAGGTATCTGGCGAACTGATACGATGAGGCTCGAAACTTGTCCCATATGAACGGAACAAGAAGTTAAAGCCACCCCTTTTTCATTTTTTAGGTTGATCTCCGATGGATTCCGTGACTCTTTCAACCACTCATGGAATATAGAATGAATTGCACATTATATATGGCCGTTTTAAAAATACTTGATTCTAATGAAACCGAGATTATTATTGGGGTAGATGGTGTACACCAAGAACACTTGCACTGGCTATAAAACATTATTAAAATACATAAATTTTTCTTAGCACAAAATAAATATGTCTAGTAAATTGTTTTTGTTTCATTTGTTTACGTTTTTACAGAAACTCACCACACAACAATCAAAAACAGCTGTTAGGGTTTGCTGTTTTATCAAAAGGTTGTTTTATTAACGGGTATACCTGTACAAAGCCATGGTCAAAAAAAATTGATTTAAAAAATTTTTATTTTTATGTTAAAAAAAATTTAAATTTTTTAGTGGTCTCAAATTATATCAATACCTTTTAAGGCACTGGCACACGTTCAATATATATTGATCAATATGGATCAAAATTTCTATAAATTAATTGTCGCCAATAGTTGTGACCGCAATTGTCATACTTTAAAACGCATTTAATTTCGCTTTACATATGGCAACATCAAACCAAATACAACACTGTGCAAAAGAAAAAAAAGTAAAAAGAGCACAGAAAAAATCCACCATTTTTTCCAACAACATCGGCGTCTAAAAAAATTTCTAATTTCTGTGAAAATATATTGTAGAAAAACAGTAAAAATATAGAAAAACAAATTGAAATAATAAAAATAAAAGTGTATTTTTCAAATTTGAAAAAGAATTACACAAAAATTTATAAAAACTTCGCAAAATAATAAAAAAAGAAAATCCCTCGCAAATAGAATCCAGTAATTGTGTATTTTTTTTTTCATTCGGTGTTTTTTCTCTCGCTTAGTGGTGTCAAATAAGCAAAATGGTGGGTAAAATACATAAAAAGAAAATTTCCGAATATACGGAAGCTGCTGAAAATGAAGATAAACAAAGTGAACGAGGTGACGACGTTGAGGATGAAATGATACTGGATCATGTTGATCCAGCACCCAGCGGCAGTGAATCGGAAAATGGTGACATGGCCACTCATGATAACAACAAAAGCCTAGATTCCATCAAGTCAAATGATGACGATGCCGGCGTTGGTGACGTAGTAGGTACTGGTGGCTTAAACGATGATGATACCGACTTTCAGCTTTCCGATGCGGACGACAATGATGACCTCGATGATGAAAAAAATAAAAAGGCTAAAAAACGTAAGGCAAGTGGTTCTAAGAAGTCGGGTGATTATGAAAGTGATGATGAGCCTTTGAATGGCGGCACTCCAAAGAAGAAGAATCGTAAGGTAGCCGGCAAAGGTAAAGGCGGTAAGGGAAAAGCTAAAGCCAAGAAACCAGTCCATGATGACGAGGACGATGAAGACGGCGAAGAGGAGTATGAGGTTAAGGATATTATGGATCACAAAACCGAACGTGGTGTTTCCTATTTCCTAATAAGATGGAAGGGCTATACAAAAGATGATGATACTTGGGAACCGGAGGATACACTAAATTGTCCCGATATCATTGAAAGGTACAAGAAAAAGGTAAGTTCGCAACATAATATAGTACATAGCATAATTGTATCTATGCATCAGAAAAAGACACACAAAAAAAGAAAAGAAAGGCTGTTTTGTGGGAGGCAAAAAATTGACAAAGCTAAATGGAAGAAAGTGTGGTTAAAAACATGTAAACGAACCTCGAAAAAGAGTACAGTCGCTACACAATGATTGCCAAGTATTTACATTCTTTTTGCTTCAACAGGGTAGCCATGTTCAAAAGAGTTTAATGTTACGTGGGGAAAAATTTTATTGAAACTATTGTAGCGCAATACACACAAAATGAAAAAGGAGTATAAAATAAATGCAAAAAAAATTATAAGAAAAAGTAAAGAAATGCATAAAAGAATTATAGACAAACAAATTTTTCGGTTAATAATGTAGTTGGTAGAGATTTATTGAAGTGAGTTAAATATTAAAAAAAAAAAAATAATATTTTTAAACGAATATCTAGCAACATGGTAAAAAGGGTAATTTTACTGTTAAATGTTTATAAAAATATGTATTCTTCAAGAAGTAATAATTTTATTCTACATAAATAAAATTAAAAACATTGTACAAAAACTGTCTGCGGAAAACAAAAGTGCGAAGTATTCAAACACTGTATTTTATACCCACCCCTTTGGTGAATGAATGAATGCAGTTTTATCTAATTATAGTATATATACCGGTTTTTACAAATTTTTATTATTTTGTATAAAAATCTAATGCTAAGGAACGTGTTAGGTGCTAATACTAATTGTAGGTGTTTGCGTTTACCGGTGGCTGGCGTTTTATCTATGCGTAATTTTTTTATGATCTTTTAAAAATGTTATAGATATTTTTTTTGTTTAACGGCCCGCCATATTTGTTTTTCGTCGTGCAATAGGCAAATTTCCATATATTGATACTCTTTAGAGTAAAAATAGTGTATTGACATGAATATAGAGGGAATGGAATAGGGAATTGAATATATATGTACTTCTGTAGCCATATCTATTTTAAAGATAATATGAAACAGACATGGAAAATTCAGTATTTTAGTACCTTTTGATATCGAAAAATACCGCAGCACCCCCACGACATTTTCGGTGCATTTTCTAACTTATAAACATTTGAATATTAGCTCATATAGTAGTAAATAAATCAGTCTATAGTCTAAACTATAGCGAAGTCTATAGTCTAGTCTATAGTCTAGTCTATAGTCTAGTCTATAGTCTAGTCTATAGTCTAGTCTATAGTTTAGTCTATAGTTTAGTCTATAGTCTAGTCTATAGTCTAGTCTATAGTCCAGTCTATAGTCCAGTCTATAGTCTAGTCTATAGTCTAGTCTATAGTCTAGTCTATAGTCTAGTCTATAGTCTAGTCTATAGTCTAGTCTATAGTCTAGTCTATAGTCTAGTCTATAGTCTAGTCTATAGTCTAGTCTATAGTCTAGTCTATAGTCTAGTCTATAGTCTAGTCTATAGTCTAGTCTATAGTCCAGTCTATAATCTAGTCTATAGTCTAGTCTATAGTCTAATCTAGTCTATAGTCTAGTCTATAGTCTAGTCTATAGTCTAGTCTAGTCTAGTCTAGTCTAGTCTAGTCTAGTCTATAGTCTAGTCTAGTCTATAGTCTAGTCTATAGTCTATAGTCTAGTCTATAGTCTAGTCTATAGTCTAGTCTAGTCTAGTCTATAGTCTAGTCTATAGTCTAGTCTATAGTCTAGTCTATAGTCTAGTCTATAGTCTAGTCTATAGTCTAGTCTATAGTCTAGTCTATAGTCTAGTCTATAGTCTAGTCTATAGTCTAGTCTATAGTCTAGTCTATAGTCTAGTCTATAGTCTAGTCTATAGTCTAGTCTATAGTCTAGTCTATAGTCTAGTCTATAGTCTAGTCTATAGTCTAGTCTATAGTCTCTAGTCTATAGTCTATCTATAGTCTAGTCTATAGTCTAGTCTATAGTCTAGTCTATAGTCTAGTCTATAGTCTAGTCTATAGTCTAGTCTATAGTCTAGTCTATAGTCTAGTCTATAGTCTAGTCTATAGTCTAGTCTATAATCTAGTCTATAGTCTAGTCTATAGTCTAATCTAGTCTATAGTCTAGTCTATAGTCTAGTCTAGTCTATAGTCTAGTCTATAGTCTAGTCTAGTCTATAGTCTAGTCTATAGTCTAGTCTATAGTCTAGTCTATAGTCTAGTCTATAGTCTAGTCTATAGTCTAGTCTATAGTCTAGTCTATAGTCTAGTCTATAGTCTAGTCTATAGTCTAGTCTATAGTCTAGTCTATAGTCTAGTCTATAGTCTAGTCTATAGTCTAGTCTATAGTCTAGTCTATAGTCTAGTCTATAGTCTAGTCTATAGTCTAGTCTATAGTCTAGTCTATAGTCTAGTCTATAGTCTAGTCTATAGTCTAGTCTATAGTCTAGTCTATAGTCTAGTCTATAGTCTAGTCTATAGTCTAGTCTATAGTCTAGTCTATAGTCTAGTCTATAGTCTAGTCTATAGTCTAGTCTATAGTCTAGTCTATAGTCTAGTCTATAGTCTAGTCTATAGTCTAGTCTATAGTCTAGTCTATAGTCTAGTCTATAGTCTAGTCTATAGTCTAGTCTATAGTCTAGTCTATAGTCTAGTCTATAGTCTAGTCTATAGTCTAGTCTATAGTCTAGTCTATAGTCTAGTCTATAGTCTAGTCTATAGTCTAGTCTATAGTCTAGTCTATAGTCTAGTCTATAGTCTAGTCTATAGTCTAGTCTATAGTCTAGTCTATAGTCTAGTCTATAGTCTAGTCTATAGTCTAGTCTATAGTCTAGTCTATAGTCTAGTCTATAGTCTAGTCTATTGTCTAGTCTATTGTCTAGTCTATAGTCTAGTCTATAGTCTAGTCTATAGTCTAGTCTATAGTCTAGTCTATAGTCTAGTCTATAGTCTAGTCTATAGTCTAGCCTATAGTCTAGTCTATAGTCTAGTCTATAGTCTAGTCTATAGTCTAGTCTGTAGTCTAGTCTGTAGTCTAGTCTATAGTCTAGTCTATAGTCTAGTCTATAGTCTAGTCTATAGTCTAGTCTATAGTCTAGTCTATAGTCTAGTCTAGTCTATAGTCTAGTCTAGTCTAGTCTAGTCTAGTCTAGTCTAGTCTAGTCTAGTCTAGTCTAGTCTAGTCTAGTCTGTCTAGTCTAGTCTAGTCTAGTCTATAGTCTAGTCTATAGTCTAGTCTAGTCTATAGTCTATAGTCTAGTCTATAGTCTAGTCTATAGTCTAGTCTATAGTCTAGTCTATAGTCTAGTCTATAGTCTAGTCTATAGTCTAGTCTATAGTCTAGTCTATAGGTCTAGGTCTATAGTCTAGTCTATAGTCTAGTCTATAGTCTAGTCTAGTCTATAGTCTAGTCTATAGTCTAGTCTATAGTCTAGTCTATAGTCTAGTCTATAGTCTAGTCTATAGTCTAGTCTATAGTCTAGTCTATAGTCTAGTCTATAGTCTAGTCTATAGTCTAGTCTATAGTCTAGTCTATAGTCTAGTCTATAGTCTAGTCTATAGTCTAGTCTATAGTCTAGTCTATAGTCTAGTCTATAGTCTAGTCTATAGTCTAGTCTATAGTCTAGTCTATAGTCTAGTCTATAGTCTAGTCTATAGTCTAGTCTATATAGTCTAGTCTATAGTCTAGTCTATAGTCTAGTCTATAGTCTAGTCTATAGTCTAGTCTATAGTCTAGTCTATAGTCTAGTCTATAGTCTAGTCTATAGTCTCTCTAGTCTAGTCTATAGTCTCTAGTCTATAGTCTAGTCTATAGTCTAGTCTATAGTCTAGTCTATAGTCTAGTCTATAGTCTAGTCTATAATCTAGTCTATAGTCTAGTCTATAGTCTAATCTAGTCTATAGTCTAGTCTATAGTCTAGTCTAGTCTATAGTCTAGTCTATAGTCTAGTCTAGTCTATAGTCTAGTCTATAGTCTAGTCTAGTCTATAGTCTAGTCTATAGTCTAGTCTATAGTCTAGTCTATAGTCTAGTCTATAGTCTAGTCTATAGTCTAGTCTATAGTCTAGTCTATAGTCTAGTCTAGTCTATAGTCTAGTCTATAGTCTAGTCTATAGTCTAGTCTATAGTCTAGTCTATAGTCTAGTCTATAGTCTAGTCTATAGTCTAGTCTATAGTCTAGTCTATAGTCTAGTCTATAGTCTAGTCTATAGTCTAGTCTATAGTCTAGTCTATAGTCTAGTCTATAGTCTAGTCTATAGTCTAGTCTATAGTCTAGTCTATAGTCTAGTCTATAGTCTAGTCTATAGTCTAGTCTATAGTCTAGTCTATAGTCTAGTCTATAGTCTAGTCTATAGTCTAGTCTATAGTCTAGTCTATAGTCTAGTCTATAGTCTAGTCTATAGTCTAGTCTATAGTCTAGTCTATAGTCTAGTCTATAGTCTAGTCTATAGTCTAGTCTATAGTCTAGTCTATAGTCTAGTCTATAGTCTAGTCTATAGTCTAGTCTATAGTCTAGTCTATAGTCTAGTCTATAGTCTAGTCTATAGTCTAGTCTATAGTCTAGTCTATAGTCTAGTCTATAGTCTAGTCTATAGTCTAGTCTATAGTCTAGTCTATAGTCTAGTCTATAGTCTAGTCTATAGTCTAGTCTATAGTCTAGTCTATAGTCTAGTCTATAGTCTAGTCTATAGTCTAGTCTATAGTCTAGTCTATAGTCTAGTCTATAGTCTAGTCTATTGTCTAGTCTATTGTCTAGTCTATAGTCTAGTCTATAGTCTAGTCTATAGTCTAGTCTATAGTCTAGTCTATAGTCTAGTCTATAGTCTAGTCTATAGTCTAGCCTATAGTCTAGTCTATAGTCTAGTCTATAGTCTAGTCTATAGTCTAGTCTGTAGTCTAGTCTGTAGTCTAGTCTATAGTCTAGTCTATAGTCTAGTCTATAGTCTAGTCTATAGTCTAGTCTATAGTCTAGTCTATAGTCTAGTCTAGTCTATAGTCTAGTCTAGTCTAGTCTAGTCTAGTCTAGTCTAGTCTAGTCTAGTCTAGTCTATAGTCTAGTCTAGTCTATAGTCTAGTCTAGTCTATAGTCTAGTCTATAGTCTAGTCTAGACTATAGTCTAGTCTATAGTCTAGTCTATAGTCTAGTCTATAGTCTAGTCTATAGTCTAGTCTATAGTCTAGTCTATAGTCTAGTCTATAGTCTAGTCTAGCCTATAGTCTAGTCTATAGTCTAGTCTATAGTCTAGTCTATAGTCTAGTCTATAGTGAAGTCTATAGTTTAGTCTATAGTGTAGTCTATAGCCTAGTCTAGTAAAATTAAAAGTACCATTTTTAATGTTGTTTTGTAACTTTTTAAAATACGATTTGCCATGCCTGGTTCCCTCTATAAATATATTTATGTATATTTTTGTATATATCCAATTAACATACCATATTAAAAATCAAGTTTCTTATATATTTTTTAGTATCACTGTTTAATTGAAAGCTTAAAATTAAATTAAACTGCGCACTTCTTAATAAAATTAAGAAGAACGAGAATCTTTATAACATGATCTTTGAGTACGACTCTTAAGTATGTCACCATCTTTATACTCGAAATTGGGATAAATTATTAATTACTGTATTCACTGGGCACTGTAATTGTTATCCTTGGAAGAATACTTAGATTGTCGCACTATTACTTCTGTAGAAATGTCTAATTGTCACGAGACAAGAAATCTAAATAAACTTTTGATTGCGCCATACAGTGTCCATGTCAATCATTGACTTATAGTTAATTTTTCTTTCACTCTCTATTAATCATCTACCTCTTTTTATATCGTATCCTATTGCAGGACATATTTTGGATGAGTTTTTCTCTTTTGCCTTGGAATGAGAGAGACATTATTAGACATAGAATCTGTTAATCTATTCCAACTTTGGTAGCTGTTTCAGATAAACTTTCGCTTTTCTTTACTTAACATTAATGCACTTTTGAATAGGAAATGAGATAAGCATACCACAGATTATTCGAAGAAAGGTAAAAAAGTTTAAGAGTAAGACTATAGATCACCTTATCTGATACTACCCTAGATTACAGAGGCGCAGATTAAAATAACTTGAAGATAGTTTAAACGACTAGATTATATAGTTAGCTGTGAACTAGGTAACCACTTTTGCTTTATCGGGAGAGTAATTTAGACTTTTTTGTTGACAAAATGAACACAGGATATTCTTATCCAATTAAAATTAATCAACTTTCTGTCTTCAAAAAATTTCTTAGCAAAAATCATCACCGAAAAAAGGTTCACCAGCCAAAAAGAAAGGTGGCAAAGCAGCCGGTAAGAATAAGAAAGCTAAGGATGAAGACGAAGAACAAGAATGGGAAGTAGAAAAAATCATCGATTATGCCGAAGAAAAGAAGGGACGCGTTTTTCGCATACGCTGGAAGGGTTTCGGACCCAAAAATGACACCTGGGAACCTGAAGAGAATTTAAATTGTAGCGATATAATCCAAAAGTTCTTAGCAAAAATGAAACTCCAGGAGAATGTTTCATTCAAAGAACTGCGCGAAGAGCCAAAGAAAACCAAACGTTTGGTTAATGAAACGGCACCGCGCACCAACATCAATAATCCGATTGGTCGCAAGTCGAAGAGATCGGTTACAAAGAAAAGGTAAGGTAAATATTACCAATATGCCCAAAAAAGTTGAGACGGAAAAGGCAACGATTTTTATTAAACAATATCTCTTTGTCGCTTGCAGAGTTTTCTATGGCGATATGGAAGATTAAAATGGAATTATGTGTGTATTATAACAAAAACAAAAATACCAGCAAATATTGGAGATGTTTTATTTTTTATTATAAAAGAAAACAATAATAATGCACATTTATATAAATACGAATTAAGAAACATCCCTCTTTAACCCAATCCCCTCTCCTTTTTCCATTCCCCTTTTTTTTTTTTAAAAAAAAAACAAATTTATATAGATTTATATATTTAAGTGCGGTTTTTTTGTTTTAAATTCTTTTTGTTTTTTTAAAAAACACTGATTTTTATTTCTCAAATACGGTGTTATTATATAAATACATATTTATTTGTTTAAGTGTGAGTAGAAAGAACATTAAATAGTGAGTGTAAATTCAACATTAAAATGTTAAACTTTAATGGTTGATTTAAACATTTATTTTTAACTGTATTATTTTGATAACAAGAAAAAACTCTTTTTTTTTAAATTATTTTAATATTTATTGCCTTAGAGCAATATTAATTTTACCTTTTCTTATTTTGGTAAAACTTTCCTTTACATTTTTTAAACTATAACTTTTAAAACAAATTTTAAATCATGTGTGTTTTTTTAAATTATTTCACAAAATAAGAAAGAAGAAGAAGAAACTTAAACTTATCAAACAAAGAAAAAAAATTACAAAATGAAAAATGGTAAAAATATTTAAAAACAACAACAACATATTTTTGCATGGAATTTTGCAAAATTGTAGTATAGCTCTATAAGAAGTTTCTTTTTAAAACAAATGATTTAAAATAAAACAAAACATACTTATAAATAAATATATATATAAATAAAAATTAAACTCAAAACTCCAGAAATATAAATAATGAAATATAATTATTCAAAGAAATACAAACAAATAATAATATTAAAACAAAAAAACAAAAAAGATTAAAAGAAAAACTTATTTTTTAGCAATAAACAAACAACTAGTTTTAAAGTGAAAAACAAAAAAAGTTTTACTCTTAATAAATCTTTGAAAGAATTATTTAGTTTTCTTTACTTCCAACGATTATTTAAATAGAAAACCACGATATTTTTATAAAAGTTTAAAAGTAATTTTTTTATTTAAAAACAAATTAGGTTTTAATTTATAAACAATTTTTTTTTATTTATTATAAATTAAAAGAAAAAAATTCGAAATATTTCAAGAAAAATAGAATAAGTTTTTAAAGTTTAATGTTTATTAAGAAAAGTATTCAAAATTTATTAAAAATTTAAAAAAAACAAATTTTTAACAAAATTTTAACTAAAATTTCGAATTCAAAATTTGAATTAAAATTTAAAATTTACAAAAACTTTCAATCCAAATTTCTGTAAAGAATTCGAATATCAATTCCTTACAAAAATTTTGAATTTTTTTCCAAATTTTAGTATTTTTTAAAAATATTGATTTTTTTTTCCAAAATTTAGTATTTTTTAAAAATTTTGAATTTTTACAAAAATTTAATTTTTACGGAATTCTAGAATTTTTACAAAAAATTCGAATATTTAACATAATTTTGTAAATTAAATAAATTGTTTACCAAAATTTTGACTTTTCACAAAAATTTAAATTTTTGCTAAAATTCGATTTTTTGCGAAAATTTTAAATTTTTACAGAAATTTTAAAAAATCTAAAACAAAATTTTTAATTTTTACCAAAGTATTGCTCACTTAATTTTTTGTTAAAATTTAAAATTTTTCGCAAAATTTTAAAAATTCACTTTTATAAAAATTTTCACAAAAATTTCAATTTGATTTTATTAAAATTTAAAATTTTCACTTAAATGACAAATTAATAAAAAATTTCCACTGAAATATAAAAATTTTGAATTTTTCTTAATTCTTTTTTCAAAAATTTTAAAAAATTAAGAAAAATTTCGAATTTACTTTTTTCAAATTGAAATGATACTCGAAACTTCAAATTTAAAAAAAAAAAAAATAAATTTTATTATAATTTAAAATGTTTATGTCAAATTTTTACAAAAATTTCAAAATTTTCACTGAAATGTAAAAATTTAAATACAAATTTCGAATTTTTCTTAAATTTTTTTCTAAAAATTTTGAAAAAATTAACATAAATTTCAAATATACTTTTTTCAAATTGAAATGCTCTATAGTTTCGAAAATTATACTATGTTTTCGATGTTTTCTCTTTTAATTAAAAAAAATTTTGTATTTATTTTAAAAATGTTAACCGTATTTAAATAACTTCTCATTTTGAAACCGCCGATTTGAAATTAAAATATTACAAATATTGGAAATTTTGATGCAGTTTGAGGACCCAAAAACAGACAACCATATAATGAAATAAAATAATAGATTCAAACAAAATAGTTCAACTCTAAACCTTTCGTTCCAAAACTTAAGTTAAAAACACACAACTATGTCTTTAAATAAATTTCATTCGTACTCTTTTTTTGTTTATTACAGTGATGATGATTATGATTCGATACTTCCCGAAGATTCCGGTTTCGATACACAAGATGATTCTCTATCATCCCGGGGACGTAATACAACAGCAGTAGATGAGTCATTTTTGCGAATGATGTTAAGTCTCATGAAGGATGTGCCGTTGAGTGTCAAGAATAAGTTTCAAGCCGATATGTTTGCCGCCATTTATAGGATTCGTGGGCAATATTTACTGGAATAAATAACGCTCGCCACTTTGAAAAGGAATCATTTTTATTTCTTGTTTTAATTTTTAACTATATTTTACACATATATTTTTTTGTTTGTTTTAAATCCATCATCACAGTTTGCTAACCCTTCAATTCATTTATTAAGGCTATAATTATTAGATTTGCCATTATTTTAAGTTCAAATTGTTTAATATTTTTTAAATTAATTTTCACAAATATACATAAAAGACATTAATTTATTTTAAAAAACTTTTGCCTGCAACTTTTAACACCGGCAGCTAGTTGAAAAAACAGCGGCAGTTACTCGAATCGAAAATAAACATATTCGAACCGCTTCCGAAAGTAACTTCCCGTTTTATATAATGAGAGTAATGGAGATTTTGAATTGAAAATTATCTTTTGTTTTAAAAATTTAATTTTCTTTCTTTTTTTTTCTCTTTAAAGCATTCATTTTTAAGAGGGTTAAAAAACTACAATACAATTTGCAATAAATATTAATAATAATTCAGTATAATTTAGTTGAAATAACAACAATTAAAGTAAATATTAAAAAAATATAAATAAAAAAGGCTATGCGAAAACGGTTCAAAATATCAAAACCGACCCACGTGTATTAGTTATTAAGTGCAAACAAATTGAATCGAATTGAACGAATATTTATCTATAAAAATTTCATTTCAAATAATAAATTTCGAAAATATTCATAATTTTTAACGGAAAATTAAAAAGTTGTTTTTATTTTGGGAGAAAGGGATGTTAATAAAAAAAGGAGCACCTGTGGAAAGGCAGGAGTCCTCCAACCTTTGTTGTCGAATTGAAAATTCCTTCGTCATTCTATTAAGATTTCAATGTACAATTTTCGAGGATTTTAACAAAATCTTAGCATTTCGTTACTGTTAAAATCAAACAACTCAGTTTTTCATTTCATTAAGTGTACATTACAACTCAAACTAGATAAATTTCTTTTAGATTTATTTTAAAAATTTCTAAATATCGCATTAACAATATGATGATAACTTAAAGGCCGGGCTGAATACCGAAACCAGGACCTTTGGGTTCCTCTGTCAAAGAGGTGGGTTCACCCTTAGGTTCACTGGCGAAACGGCCATTACGGGGACCAGGAGGAGAGATACGATCAGCCTTGCAGTCAGCCAAAATAGCTTGCATATCTTTAGCGGTTAAATCTTCCTAAAAAGGATAAAACAAATTACCCATGTTAATCATAATATAAATAAATATTAAAAATAACTAACAACTCACATAATAATCATCGTTAATAGCTACCATGGGAGCATTAACACAAGCACCCAAGCATTCTACTTCGGAAATGGTGAATTTCATATCCTTGGTTGTCTCACCAACACCAATGTTTAAGGTTTTCTGTAATTAAAACAAAATTTGTAAAATTTCCTTTATTTCTAAAATTGAGTCATTTTTTACCTTGCATGTTTCTAGGATTTCATCGGAGCCCCTCAACCAGCAGGGTGTGGTGGTGCATACTTGAATGTGGTATTTACCGGTAGGTTTACGCATAAACATGGTATAGAAAGTGGCTACTTCATAGACACGCATATTGGGCAATTCCAAAATTTCGGCTACCTTGTGCATGGCCGAAATGGGCAACCAACCGTATTGACGTTGAGCCAAATCCAATAAGGGAATCATGGCACCACGTTTGTGTCCTTCGGGGTAGATGCTTAAAATAGCTTCAACACGCTAGAATAGAAAAAAATGGAAAGTAATCTAATTCAAAATATCTGGTTATCTGTGGTTTTTATGGAAATATCAAATTCATTCAATTTTATTCACACCACTAATGGAAATAATAATATTTCCATACAAGTCACAATAGAACAAACTATAGAACAACAAAAGTTTTTCTTTAGGAGCGAATTGCCATATAAAACATAACACATTTTGGAGATTTCGATTGAAATCGAATGCCGTATTTAGCTTTTCGATTGGCAATGAACATTCAAATTTAATCATGTCACAGTTTGATGTTCCTCTGAGCAGAGATTTTTGCAGAATCCCTAGGACAAAGATCATAACAAGTCTGCTCATAGGATTTCCTCATAAACAATAGTAAAATACACAGATTTTTGCAGATGTGTGCAGAATACGTCTGCTCATAGGATTTGGCGTTAATGTTCGAGCACAACTATTCCTTAAGGTCCTCTACTGTTCAACTGCCACAAGATAGTATGCACTAAACTTTTAAGAATTAGATCACTTTCTGCCTTAAATATCCATTCTAAAATCTCCGGATTAGTTTTAGTTGTTACACTTGTTTTCCTTATGCAAACATTTACCAATTGTTGGTTACTCTTTTTATCATCTTTACTCACCTTCTTATTCTCTGGTGTGAATTCGAATGGTATGTCTGGATTGTCTTCGGGAGTATCACGGTGTACAAACAAATTATCACTGCGATTTACGGCCGAACTGGCAATGGTACGCAAACTGCCGCGCTAAAATAGTTTCAAACAAATAGTTAATTGCATATTTCCAATATTTTTATATATAAATTCCGACTTTTTGCTTTATTTAAAATTACATAACCTTGCAAATTGTTGATGCGGCCATTTGTTTTTACTATTCTTCGGTTAAATTATTACTTACCACATATTGCAAGGTTTTTGTTGCACAATTGGCAAGCATTTTTCTATATTATTTAAACAAATTGCCTTTTAAAATGTTTTTTTAAAAAGGAAAAAAGAAAATTTTTTCCCACTGGCACAGTCTTACACAAAACACCAGACAAAACGATTTTATTTTACGAATTGTCAAAATTGACAACAAACAGCTGACGACAAATGTTTATTTATTTGTTGACAGCTTTGGTGAAGGGTTGTATTAAATAGTAGTAGATGGAAAATATGTAACCGTTAACATTAATGCATTTTGAACAAATTTTTGTTTTTTTTTATTGAAAAATGATGAATTAAAGATTTTTTGTTGTCTTTTGTTTTTATATGAAAAAGTCTTGATAATTAAACAGAAAATAACATCGAAAGGAAAGTAAACAAAACAATCTTTACATAGAACTTTTTGACTAAAATCATTGTCGATATATCTCTTCTTTTAGAGGAGACATGGCCTTAAAAGTGGATTAACTCATAACATTGCTTATGGATGCATCATTTTCGAAATACATATTTTGAATTATTATTATTTTTCAATATTTCAATTAAATATTATTAAAAAAGGTGTGCATTAAACCCCTTTGGAAAATCCCCATCATTCAAGAACTTTTTACAACTGAATGATTGGGTACTTTTTCCTATTTCACACAAAAGGCTTCCAACTTCTTTGTTAAATGCAAAAACCTTAAATAAAGACTTTAAAAGCGGTAAGAACAAAAGATTTGTTTCTTAACAGATAGTAGTAACTCATCAACTAAATGATTATGACAGTTGGCACGTGCAATAAATGCAAGCTACACCGAAATAAAGAGAAAAACTGAGGTCTATAAACTCATTAGCAATTCATTCAAGGTTTTGAAGTGAATAAAGGTATTCTTTAGAAATTAAAGAAAGACATAAAGAATTCTACTAGCTTTAGGAAAAATAACAAAAAAAAAATAAATAAATAAAAAAAGTTTATAACAAAAATAATATGCACAATATGTATATGTGTATGTAGCTGGCTGCCTGTGCGTATGAGAAATATGAAAATAATCCCTTCAAACATTTAGAAGACAAAACTATTGCGCATCACCCCAGACGCCACGTCAGAAACACTTCTGGACGGTTGTCAGACGAGAACGCACATTTTACAAAAACAAAATACATTGATTTCGAATTTTCGTCTTCTAGAAATACACTTTTAAGTTTCTTCCGGATGATAGTTAGAAGAGTCCATCCATTTGCTTAAACAAAAAACATTGACTGTTGAATTTTTTTCATCTGGAAGTATACGTTTTAGTGACTTCTCTATGAGAGTTGGGTGAGAACACACATTTTACAATAACAAAATACATTGTTTCCTAATTTGTATCTTCTTGATTTGTATGTTTATGTCACTTCTGGAAGACAGTTTGAAGAGTGTTCACATTAATGTTGTATTTTATTCATCTGGAAGTGTGGATTGTAGTCACTTCTGGACGATTGTCAGACGAGAGCACACATTTTACAAAAACAAAATACATTGATTTCTAGTTTTCGCCGTCTGGAAGTATACTTTTAGGTTACTTCCGGATGATAGTAAAAAGAGTACAAAAACAAAAAAATATAAATACTCCATTTTTTTAGCGTGAACGCGAAAAAAATAAAAATAAATAATGCAGAAATTTTGCTAAGTTCAGTGATGTTTTGCGTTTTGTCCAGTCATGTTCAGTTTTAATTATTCATTGTAAAACTTAAATGAGTTATTGAGTTTAATGTTCATAGAAAAATAGTGTAATTAATATATTGTAAATCTTAAGAAAAAAAAAAACAATATGACAGTGTTGTGTTAAAAGTAAACTGTTAATAAACATTTAAGAAGGTTTTGTTAATTGGTGAAGTTTATTAAATTAAATAAATAAAATTGAAAAGTAAGTTGTAATATTTTACATTAAAATAGTACTATATTTTAGGAATAAGTTAACAACTCTAAACGGCTTCCATTTCCATTATTTTTAAACGAAGTCTAATATGTTTAATTAAAAATGTTTTTATATAAAATTTCGTCTCTCTCTTAATTGGTTTAGGAGTTATAAGCATTTAAAGACTTTTTCAAGTTGTAAGTTTCGGCTTTCATTTGATGAATATTGCATTTTTAACCTATTTAGATTTATTTGAGTTAAATCTTAACTTTCAATATTTTTTAAACTATTAGCGCGTTTAGGTCCTTTTTCTAGATTACGTATGATCACTTTGAGCTAAAATTTTATTTGTATTTCATTATCGTAACCAAATACATTAAAATTTTTACTTAAAGTATTCAAACGCTATCTGGAATCATTATATTGAAATTAATACTACTGTTTTATACATAAATTATTTTTTGACTTGGGTCACTCGACACGAAATTGCCCATATAAGATATTTAATATTGAAAACAGATATTTTTAAACCCACCTTTTTTTAAATAAATACAATTTTATTAATTTTCATATAGCTTTGGATTTAATTATTCTAATTATAGGTACTTTTTTAGTTATTAACACCAGGTCTTTTTCAATGACCTATCATATGATACTAATATTCTTAATATTGAGCATGCCGTTCCCAAGATATTACCTAAGTAGAT